CCCCAAAACCCCAAAACCCCAAAACCCCTTTAACAAATTCATTCAAAGCATTAGATAAATAATTGTAATTATTCAGACATTAATGAGCAATAATTATAGTTCAATGCACATGCTTGCTAAGTTTGCAAGCAGCAGTCACTTTCATAGTTGATCTGGATTGATCTCTCTAATATCCATATCTAGATATTGCTTGATACTACCCATTTGAATTTGATTTACTTCCTGAGATTATGTTAAACTGTTGAAATGCTTATGCTCCTTGGAATGAAGTTACTTTGAATCTTTACCAGCAGCAGGCAAATAGTCAAAGTCATTAGACTGTAGGAAATCTGAGGTAAGTCTGTTTGGCTTGGTCTGAGACATTTCATATTTCTAGCAGCTGGTGGATTTGGGTGTTCTTAAATTTTAAGCATGCTAGGCTTCACTCCATGACATGATTTTATTAACTGAACTAGAGTCATTAGCAATATATTTCCTCTCAATTGATTTAGAGGTTATTCTCTCTTTATTTGGAGTGTGACCTGCAAGGCAAGACTAGAACGTGTTGCTGTTATTCAAATTACTATTCGGAGTATAGAATCCAGAATTGTGAGTCAACTGACTAACTCTGTTGTTTTAATTAGGCTGATATAAAAGAGATTAATTCTTTTAAGTCTCAAAATGCTTCTGCTCAAGTGATTTGTAGTCACTGCTGTTTTATTTGCTCATGTTGCCCATTCCAAATAATGAGGAATTGTTATTTACATTTTGTTGCTGATAGTTTTTTACTTTAGTAGGTGTCTTAGCTAGCAAATCAATTTCTGCTTTAGGTATAGCACTCAACGGGAAGCCATATTCTAAGTCTTGAGCGAATGAATGCGTGAAATGAGACATTTGGCTTTGATTATTCTGAGGATTCAATTGCTGTTAATATGACAACAACTTGAGCGAAATTTACTGCTTTTCAATCATTAGATGTGATATCTCTTCTTTATACTTGACATTAGCATCCATTAACTATTGCAAGTTGCCTTATAGACCATCAACAGCCTTCTTTATCTATTGGTTCTCATTCAATACTTATTGATAATGCTGTTCTATTTTCTAATTAGTAGCCTATGACTAATCTAAAAGGTATTTGTTCTCCTAACTTTTCTTATCCAAGATCTAGTTAGTTTGCTTGATTCTAGATAGTTCCTGCTCTTGTTGGTCTGTGTAAGTCTTCAGTCTCTTATTCTCATTAAGAAGTGAGTGATTCTCTGTTTCAGCTTTTAGAATCTGTTCTCTTAGTGACTTAACTGCTTTTTCAAGTGTTTACCTATCATCTGAGTAAGTTTAAAGCTTTTGTCTATAGGTTACATCAGAATCTTGAAGCCTTTTAATTTCTGTCAACAAACCTTGCTTTAACTTTTCAAAAGTCTGTTTCTCCATCACTCGCTAATTCATTTCATTGGCTACGATTTACTATAGATTTTTGTTCTCTTAAAGCAGATTTTAGATTTATAACTGCTAATCTTAGTTTAGTCCTGCAATATGTTAATCAGATTAAGTTGCTCTATTCTGAAGATCATAAAACTATCTTTAGAGCTTTGTATACTAAACAACAATTTTCCTCAATAGCTCTTCATATTTATTCAAAGCTATATTTTTCTCATTATCATACATGCTTTGCTAGGGGTATAGCTGTAGATTTAGTAGAGCTGATTGTATCTCATTTTCATCAATCCTACTTTCATTAAGCATTATTTGATCTAAAGCGTCCATGCTCTTTGCAAAGTTCGCTCTGGCAAGTGCTTCAACACTTTTTCTAAGATTCATGACTGGATTCACACATCTTGATTTAATCTATTGCAAATTAATTGTGATAACCTTTGAATTCAATTAGAGACTATCATCTTAATAGCCTAATTGAAGGTTAATCGTTTTAATTTCTTTAAATGAGCTGTGCGGTGAGTTTAGTTTGCTTGCAAAGGAGTTCTTAGTAGAATTGACCCCATTTAACTCGTTTTCATAACAGTTGAAGCATTTATTATAAGGAAATTGCACTTATATTTCCTATGATTTTTTGCCAAAGCTCTGTGGTTCATTGGTATAGTTCTTGATCTCAAATACTTAATTCGACTTTTATGAATAAGTAGAGAGGCTACTTTGGCAATTAGGTTTTTACCTATCATTTGATGAAGCCAATAACTATATCTGACTACTGTTTCCTTTAAGATTGGTCAGTCTGTTGTTTGTGGTTGCATATTATGCCATGAAAGGATCTTAGTAGCTAACTCTGTTTAAGTCTCTTTCACTTTAGGTACCATTAGATCTGGTTGTAAGCTTAGCTTATTCAATTAAGGATGTAAAATGTTATTGTTACAAAAACTAATCCTCAACATTAATTAATAGATTTGGAGAACTAGGTCTCATGTTCACACTGCTATAGTTACTAGCCTTACTTATAATAGAGTTATTGATTCGGGTGTAGGAGCCATCGTTGGCAATTGAGTTATTCGCGTTTGTATGCTTGCCATCTCTAATAACTTTGCTTTTATCAGGCGATATGACTAGCTATATTTCAGGGACACGATTCGATTCCTTTGATTTATTTCTCAGCATTATAGATTGAGATGACTCGCCTGCAAATCCTCTCATGTTACTTTGCTTGGACTAATCATTCTTCTTGTTAGATGACTTGGGAGACACTATATTACTAGTGAGGAATTTTTAATGATATTTAGTAGAGTTCGATGACTATACTTTTTTCAACTTATCAAAGGGATTTGAGGTAACTATCTTGTTTACGGGAGGGGAGAACATTATACTTTAAGAGCCTTTTCTAGATTTACTTGAGCCGCCTGGAGAATTCAAGACTATCATCTGCTGGGAAGCCCCATTGTTTCTAGGTTTACTGACTTCTCTATCTTGTAAGTCCTCCAAATCATTGGCATAGTCAGGTGATTGAAGCAAATGCTGTTAGCTATTGGCACTTGGCTTTAGAGTTTTCTATGCTTGATTTTTAGGTAACTGCTAAGAGGCAAACAGTGATATGACTGTGACTTTGTTGTTTTTACTTTAGCGGCTGTTGCTAATAGACTCCAAGTTTCGCTTTTTACCGCTGTTAAGAGTAGATGCAGATCCCCGCCCAACAGTCATGTCTTAAGATTTTTTCTTGATTTTCTAAGCTGTTGAGAAGTTCTTGATAATCTATTTTGAGTCTGAGTCATTTCCAAGCACTGATTGGGTATAACCTAAAGACGGCGTCATTCTGTCAAGTGTAATAGGTATCGTAAACATCAAATCTTGATTATTTTCATCATAATTAGGCAGTACTCTTCCTAGATTCTAGTTGCTTTACTTTTTACTGTTTGTGCTTGTTTACTGTCTGGATTCCCTATCTGTGGTCTTTTACTTCTTACTTGAGTCCTTTTGATTTTTAGTAAGAAATTGAGTCTTGAGACTAGACTTCCTTTGCATTGAGGTAATCATTCTTTGCTATATAATTGTCGCAATATTTTAATTGCTTTAAGTACTAGAGTTGTTGCAATTAGTTTAATTATTATTAGCTTGCAGCACCTAATATGCTAGGGGAGCTAGATTACCGTTATGAGAGGGCTGTGAACTCACTGAGGTCTCATAGTTGAAGTTCCCAGAGCCTCTCTTGTTTGAGATGTTACTACTATCCTCGTAGTGAGGGGTCTTTCTATGCGGAGAGATCCTAATGTGCTTACTGGGCACAGTTGTTATGAGAGTCTTAATAGCTTGCTTCATTTATAAATTAGCAGCTGCAATATAGTTGTTAATTAATGATAAATCTCAATTGAATTTAAAAGTCTATATTATTTTAATTCGATTCAATATTAAAACAACAATCATGAAAAATCAAAATTCTACTAAACCCCCTGCCGCCATCCCCGAAAGATTTCTCACACAGATGCTGTCTAAGCAGGACCATCAAATCAAGCAGGGAGACAAAGTAGGTATTTCTAGTGGTAACAAATATATAGGTTAATGAAGCCTTGTAAAGGTCATTTAACAGTACAAACAAGATCAATCAAAGTATAAGTGAAAAAGAGCTTGGCAAACAATTCGTTTGCAACATTTGCAGTGGTAAGAATCGAATAGAATTTGGAATTGTTTTAATTCAAATTATAGTCAAGAACAGTACTGTCATTTTAGACTGCTTTTGTTTGCTGTGTCTCGACTGCTTCCAAGATTCAAGTAACTTAAAAATTGCTTACATCTTTAGAAAGTGTCAATTTGTTAGATTAGCAGTGCATGTCTTGTGGCAAAAATTACAAAAGGGGTTTCAAGTTGAATAAAAAGAAGCAGGTAAACTTATTATAAAATTTAAGTATAAAATAGGTGCTGAATATTCTTGAGAAAATCTAAGACCCTCTGAAACTTCTTCAAAAGGCTCTCTATGTTATCAAAGTATGCTCAAATTTAAAATCATCAATTTATTATGGTTTTAGTTTCAAGAGCTTTTAAAGCCAAAGTTATATCAAGAAATAGAAAGTGTATATCTGCAAGCTTAAAAATTACCTCCTGGCGAGATTTTCAAGCTGAAAGTTGTTCATAAAATCTAGTTGCAAGTTGAAAGCCAGAATGACAATAAGAATGTACTGCAACATTGCCCGCCCTAAATTTAAGCTACAGTGAGAAATGATGAAAATCTATACTAAAGTTAAGTTAATTAATCTTAGTTGCAGTAACAATAAGCTGTGGGTTACAATATTAATAATATGGAATAATCAACTAAGAGCAGTAATTCAAATAAAAATGACTTAATTAATAATGATGAATTGACTTTGTTAAGAAAATCTGAAAGAGCCCCTCTAAGAAATTTATCAAATATTGAAAGCTAAAGCAAGTCAAAAGCAGGGATTGAGGAAAAGTAATTTTAATAATAGCACCAAGTCTAAAATATATGCAAGGAATAGTAATCTTCCTCATCATTTCTCGCAACACCACCTGTAGTTTCCTCTTGCCAAGAATAAAGCCAACCTGTAGCAGAATATTAGCAATCTGAGGACCTCCAGAGCAAATCAAACATAATGAAATCAATTTTACTTCAAACTTTGGTAAACATTAATACCAGCAACAGAAGATAAAGCAGTAAAAATGAAAACTGCTTGAGATAAGCAAGGAGCCTTTCTCCTGAGATTAAAGTTCAGTCTAAATTGCAATTCAAACCTAAAAATAATAAACTCAGAACCAAACTGAAAAGAGAATTTGAGAAGCAGATAACACTGATAGGTAAAAAAAGGAAAATAAATGAGACTCAGATTGAGAAGAAGGATGCTGCAAACTTGTGCAAATAAAGTTTATTATAGGAATCTAGCAAGTCCAAGAAAAAAGAGCTTTATAAAAATATCCGATATCCAAATCAAAGTCAAACTACTGACAATAAATGAATGCTTGATAGCAGGCTGCCCATTATATATCTGCTAATTAATATTATGGTTATTTTAATTTTTGATAGAATATATCTAATTTTTCACAAATATCAATCTATTTAAATCAATGGGGTTTTGGGGTTTTGGGGAGATCGGAAGAGCACACGT